GCACGTACAGTGCGATTGAAACTTCATGGCCCATGCGCAGAAGTCGGTATTTTGTGAAAGAGCCACACTCAAGGGGCCAAAGAGCCGCATGTGGCTCGTGAGCCGCAGTTTGCCAACCACTGGGTTAGGCCAACCTGAAGCATGGACTGAGGTCATAGAGGCTGGGCTCCCCCCCTCGCCCCACCTCCCCACCCGCAGGGCATGGTTTGGGCAGTGGCTGCACTCTCCACAGCCACAGCTTCTGTTAGGTGGCCCCTCTCCCATGGCTCCAGCTTCCTCCCCTTGACCCTACGGCTAACGTGCTAAAGCTTCCACCTTTGCTAGTCCCTGAGGGACGCATCATCCTCTCAGGGTTGCCTTAATCTCTGTAAAGGAAACACTCTATAAATAGTCCTTCACTAAACTTTCTCCAGTAAAACCCTCAGAGGGTGCCTGTCTTTCCCGTGGGAATCCTGACACACCCTCAGGTACGCTCCCTGCAGTAGGCCCCTGTAGCCCATTCCGCACACAGCAGCAGAGTGACTCTTTCTACATACAAGTCTGCTCTTGCTCTTGCTCCCCTGGTTAACACATTCCAATGTGACTGACTGCCCTCAGGCTACAGGACAAGCTCCTCCGAGGCCCTGCATGGCCTGTTCATTCTCACATTTCCCCCTTGTCATTCTCTCTGTTGCTCTTAAGTCTAGCCACACCGAACTTCATCGTTGCTCAAAACCTCCTTCACTTGGTTATGCGGACTGCTTTCTGCCTGAAACACACCCTTTTCCTCCTCTATCTTCCACCTCCAACCCCCCAAATCCCAATCCTTTATCTGGATAGATCCTATTTGTACCTTAGGTCTCAGCTTGAATGGCATCTCTTCTCTCAAGGGCAGTCTGGATTAGGGACACCACCTTTCATGGCACCCATTAATCTGCCTTCATGTCCCAGCAAATCATGATTCCCTGCCTGCCAGTCCCAGGAACAAGGCCTGGCAAAGGGTAGAAACCAAGGAGCAGGATGGTCAATAGGTCAGTAACTACTCTATTTGTTCATTGTTCTTGATTTATGCAGAAATTATCATCTCCTGCTTGGCCTTTAAATGCGGTATTTCACTGAGGACCTTATAGGAAAAGGAATATGAGACATAAACTCTCAGGCTAATTGGGATTCTATTTTAAAAAAAGAAGAAGAACTATCTATTGGTTTCAGGTCACCCTGCTTTCAGAGTTTAATGTGGGTGGATGCTGCACAACCATATTTTAACTCAACCCCTGGGTGACTGAGAATCCCTCCACACAGGTAGCACTTTTTTCACAAATTAATGATAACAGGACCACTTACATTATCATGTGTTTTAAAAATCTCGGTTGCATAGATTTGGATTATGGATTAGTGATAATCCTGGTTTATAAAGCATTCATCATCAGTCCATGAATAACCTGTCATTTATTTTGCTCCTTTTGATAATTACATAATAGTCTCCACCTCCCAAAATATTAAGATCTTGATAATCTCCTACATCTAACAACACATTTTCATCCAGTCCATGCCCCCGTTCTTCCTGCCAAAGGTGTCCACCATCCTGAATCCTGTTTTGGCAGGAAAGTGACACATGTCACTTCCACTCATAACTCATTGGCCAAAACTAGACCCATGGCACCACCACCCACAAGGGGCCAGGTTGTACATTTTCAAAAACAAGAGAAGAACCAGATATATTTGAAAAAGGGTTTGAATATTCAGTTTTTGGAGGTAATGCCAAATACTTATAATCCAGCAACTTCCTCCTACATGTATATATACTTTTGCGCACTGTGGTATTTCTTAAAGTTGTCTTCCAAACTGATTGCACCAATTTATACTTCTTCCTGCAAAGTATGAGAAATCTTGTAGATACATAGATTTTCCAAACTTTAGTACTGTCAGACTTTAAAAATTTTTGCCAATTGAATGTGTATAAAATAGTTATCTCATTGGGATCTTGATTTGCAATTTATGATCACAAAATGTTGAGCATCTCTTTATATTTTATTAGTTATATATGTTTCACCTTCTGAGATATACCCATTTATGTCTTTTGCCTATTTGCTGTTTTTTTTTTTACTTGTAGGACTTCTTTCTATATTCTGAATACTAATTTTTTTTGTAATTAGCGTATATTGCAGAAATTTCTCAGTTTGTAACTTGTCTTTTTATTTTCTTTATGGATAAACAAAAGTTCTTAATATTTAAATAGTCAGGTTTATCAATTTTCTTTTATGGTTAATGCTTTTTGTTTCTTAAATTTTCAAAAGTTTCAAAAAATAAAACTTTTAACTCTTAATATCTACATATATATAAAAGCCTAATATGCAAATTGTCCCCATGGGAGTTTGACCAGGAGACCGATCGCTCACTATGACATGCTCTGACCACCAGGGGGAGGCATGGAATGAAGGAAGGCCCCAGCCGGCAGCCAGAAGGAAGGCCCTGGCCAGCAGCCGGAAGGCCCTGATCACCAGCAGACCCTACCACCCTACCTGTGCATAAATTTCATGCACTGGGCCTCTAGTAAGTGGATTCTTTAATTCAAGTGAAGTTATTTTGTGTGTGTGTGTGTGTGTGTGTGTGTGAGAGAGAGAGAGAGAGAGAGAGAGAGAGATGTGTGAGGATAAGGTCCAATTTTACTTTACTCCATATGGCTAAAATTGTCTAGCTATATTTGTTGAAAAATTCTTTCTTCACTCATGACATGTCATCCCACTGTCATGGTTTTTCAGGGGTTCCCTGTTCTATTCCATTTGTCAATTTGCCTTTTCTGTCAATACCACCCAGTTTAAATTGATATAGCATCATATTTAGTAAATACATTTGATACTGAAGACTTCCTGCCTCATCCTCTTTTTCTTAGAGGTATTTTTTTTTTATAGAGGTCTTACCTATTTTTGTTAGATTTATTCTTAAATTCTTTATAATCTCTGATAGTGTTGTAAATGGTGTCTTCTTTTTAACTACATTTTCCATTTGCTTGCTGCTGGTAAACAGACATACAATTAAATTGGATATACTCTTCTTATACCCAGACTTCTCCATACATATAATAAATTCAAAGGAATCTACAGACAAGTTTTCTTTATAGAAAATGACAGTTTTATTTCCCCCTTTCCAATCTTTATGACTGTATTTTTCTTGTCTTATTACTTTGGTTAGGACCTTCAAATACAACACTGAATAAACTAGTTATAGTAAGAATTCTTGTTTATTTTCTTATTTTAAAATGAATGCTTTTAATATTTTCCACTTGAAATTTTTTTTTATCAAAAATGGTTGTAGAATATTATTACATGCTTTATTGTGAGATTTTCAGATGACAATTGTCATAAAGAGTCTGAGATTTTACTCTCCTTGCAAGCCAGTAAGTTAGCCTGTTTTATAGATGCAGGCAGAAGACTTAGGACTCTTGTTTAAGAGATAAAGGACTATGACTTATGGTGCAGCAGGCAGCATGATATTCATGTTCATGTCAGTCCCCCTCAAGCCCCATGTAAGCAATACAGGGCAGCCCAGGTAGATGCTGCACATATAGATTTATATCACAGCTGAGAAAATCTAAATCTTTAAAAATAGGCTACAAGAAAATCTGCCCAAGATTTTCCCTGAAGCAAGATATTATTTTTATTATAGTGGGTAATAAAAAAAACACACACACACACAAAAACCCCAACAACAACCAAAAACCTGCCATCTGCTTCAGAAAGAGACAATATAACTTTCAAGGCTATTCTCTATACAATCATCTTTGAAAGGTTAATCTCAGCAAAGGTCATGTGCACTCTGCTCACAAGAAGTGCAGAAACATAAAAGATCCATGGAGAATTGTCTTAATATTTGCGGGGTTTTTTTGTTAATCTGCTGATGTGGTAGATTATATCTATCAGTTTTCTAATATTAAACCATCTTTGTATATACCCAGCTTGAATATGGTATATTATTTTTTAATACACTGTTGGATTTAATATACTAATATTTTATTTAGTATTTTTTCACCTATATTTACAAAGGTAATGTGCTTGTAATTTTATTTTTTTCATAATGTTTTCAAGGTTTGGCATTAATGCTGGCCTCTTAGATTGAGTTTGAGGACACTACCTCTTTTTCTATTGCCTTTATTATTTTTTATTAAAATTTTTTTAATGTTGACATTGCAGGTGTCCCCTCCC